CATAGTTTAAGAGACAGGGAAAGCATCAAGAATAACAACATTCACATCATAGGGGGACCAGGAGGAGGAGACAGAAAGCAAGGGATTGAGAACTTATTTGAAGAAACAATAACTGAAAACTTCCCTAACCTGGCAAATGAAACAGACATACAAGCACAAGAAGTGCAGAGAGTCTCAAACAAGATGAATCTAAAGAACACAAGACACAACATAATTAAAGCCAAAGTTAAGCTCTTCCTCTGCGCTGCTTACAGAGTTGGCACTCATTTCCTACTCAGTATCATGGGTGTCTTCAGACCACTCATGAAGCCCAAAATCTTCAAAAAGAGGATCAAGAAGTTTATCCTGCACCCAGTCAGACTGATATCTCCAAATTATGCATAATTGGCGGAAATCCAGAAGCATTGACAATAGGGTGCACAGAAGATTCAAGGGCCAGATCTTAATGCCCAATATTCATTATGGAAGTTACAAGAAAACAAAGCACATGCTGCTTAGTCAGTGGCTTTCAGATGTTCCTGGTCCACAATGTCAAGGAGCTTGAAGTTCAACAAATCTTACTGTGCTGAGATTGCTCACAATGTCTCCTCAAAGAATCACAAAGCCATTGTGGAAAGAGCAGCCCAGCTGGCCATCAGAGTCACCAATCCCAATACCGTGCTACACAGTGAAGAAAATGAATAGACAGCTTGTGTGCAAATTGTGTTTTAATAAGACCATAAAATTCTGTTGCCTGGGGGAAAAAAAAAAAGGAAGCCAAAAGTAAGAGACAAAGAGACAACCTTAAAATAGCCAGAGAAAAGCAGTTACCTACAAGATGCTCCCCTAAGACTATCAGCTGATTTCTCAACAGAAACTTTGCAGGCCAGAAGTGGACAGCATGAAATAGTCAAACTGATGAAAAGCAAAGACCTACAACCAATATTACTCTACCCAGCAAGGCTTTCATTTCAACTTAAAAGAGACATAAAGCGTTTCCCAGAAAACAAAAAGCTGAAGAAGTTTATCACCACCAAACAGTACTACAAGGAATGTTAAGGATTTTTTAAGTAGAAAAGATCAAAGATATGAATTAGAAAATATAGGAAAGTAATCATTCTCACTGACAAAGGCAAACAGTAAAACCAGTGAAATAACCTAGTATAAAGCTAGCACAATGGTTAAAAGTAAAAGTAGGAAGATCATGTGTAATTATAACAACATATTAAGAAATACACGTGGGCCGGCCGAGTGGCGAGATGGTTAGGAACTGGCTTGGGACGCCGGAGGGCCCCAGTTCAGATCCCACGTGTGAGGGCCAGTGATGCCGCCCTCCGCAGCTGGGATGCTGAACGGCAACTCAACCTGGAGCTGGGCTGCCGGGAGTCACCGGCGACGGCGTAGGCTGCAGCCCCTGTGGCAGTGGGTTGCCATGGGCTACCGTGTGTAGCCAGCAGCCAGCGTNCAAGGGTTTTACAGAGGAAAGAAAGTAACAGTTATGCTGAGCTGTATCCTCCTGAGTTCAGAGACTAAAATAATATTTAAATGGTGGGGAGAAATCTCTGAATATTCTTACTAGCCACACCAACAAAACATGCTTCAGAATATGATGGAAAGGCATTAATTGGCTGAATAAGCAACCAGAATTCCCTTAGTTATTTCCAGTTTAGCAGAGTTGTTGGGCAGAAGGAGCAGACACTCTTATTTCAAGAGGTTTTTGTTCTCACAGCTGTTAAAGGGCCCTGCAAGAACCTCTCCTTTCTGTGAGCCAAGCCCTGTCCTGTACCTGCTACTTTCTTCTCTGCAGCACTGAGGGCGCTCTCTGCCTGCAGGATGGATTCCTCTGTTGCAGCCAGTGACTTCAGGGAGCTCTGGAGAACCTCATTTGCCTGAGGAAACAAGAAGGAGCAAAGGCTTGTAAGATAACAAAGATCAAGTCTATTGCTGTGGAAATCATTGTCCAAGAAAACTTCAAATCAGATCCTGTAAATTCTTCATTCTTTTTGGGATTCTCACTGTGCTGTTTCTTTCCTTCTATGGATTCATAATAAGAGTCCAAGCCCTTTAGTTAGACATGAAAACCCTCTACAGCAACCTCTTTCCTAGCCCTCCAGCTTCCTATACTACAGATGCCGTCTACCATCCACCCTGGGTTATAGACAACTGGATTTATGTGCAGTTCTATAAATACCAATCCTCCATTTTTTGCAATATCGGCACATTCTTTTTCTTCTGAATAGATGCTCGTCTACCCTTTTGTTACCAGATATCAATTATTGATACTTTTACTTTAATGACTACCTCCTTGTCCATGAAGCTTCACTAAACATCTTACTGAGTTTTAAATGGCTGCCTGGTACACAGAGCTGCGCTACCACTTGCTGGCTGTTTTCTCTTAGGCAACTTAATAGATTTTCAGTGCATCACATTTCTCAATTGTATAATGTGGATGACAGTACATAATTCATATTATTCTAAGGATTAAATTAATAATCCAAACACAAAACCCAAGGTGATACCTACAATAAAAAGTGAGTGCTCAATATATGCTAGCCGCCATCATCATCACCATCATCAATATCGTATACTTGTATGATAATCGTTACCCCACCATATCTAATTGCCCATTTATATGGCTTTTTTTGGTAAGATAATAAGCTTTTTGAGAAAGTTGCTTCTTTAATTACATATCCCCCTATATGTAGCACAAAACCTGTTACACTGCTTAGTGAAAGGAATGTCCTCTTCATCAAGATTTTTGATAATAAATCCTATATTTGGGAAGAAACATTTCTAGTTTATTTAAGAGTGGCTAACTAACTGTGGATATAAAACCTGAAAGTGTAGAGGCATCATCATGCCCTGCTTTCTCTCCACAAATAGTGCTGTGGTCTTAGATTTTCAAAAGATGCTCTGACCCTAATCTGATGTTCTTCCTCCCTTTTTTTGTTCCTCACCTTAACTCCTTTCCTGGGTACCAGCTTATAAGATTGTTCAAACTTGTCCATTTCTTCTAAGTAGAGTTTGTGTCCTCCAGGCACAGAGAAAGTCCCTTTCGAAATATCTTTCATCAAGGGCTCGAGGAGCTGCTTAAGCTGAGCCTGGCAATATTTTGTAGATGCCTCTTTGTTCTGCTGCATGAAATCTCCCTTCTTTTCCTGTATGGTTTCCTATCAGGGAAATGTGGAGAAACCCAAAGGAAAAAATATTAGAAGGGAAGGTCCAACTGTAATCCCGTTAGAAGAAGCAGTCTGACTTGCAGTCAAGATGGGGACTAAGTAAAGTTATGCTTGCCTCCTCCCACGTCACACTTACAACTAAATTACAGAGCAACCATCATTGAAAACCAACTGAAGAATAGCTGAACAGAAGTCTTATAACTGAGGATACAAAGAAAAAGCCACGATGAGACTGGTAGGAGGGGCAGAGATGCAAAATGGACAGGTTCCACACCTACAGTGAGATGATTAACAATTGGGATGAATATCTTGGCTGCTGAGGTCCATCCCTGAGGAGTGAGGAATCCAAGCCCCATCCTCAGCTCCCCGGCTCTAGGTACCGGTGCCTGGAAGAGGAGTTCCCACAACATCTGGCTGTGAAAAACAGAAGGTATTACAGATGAGTGAGAGGAGGGCTGCTGGAGTGAGTACCAGGTGTTCCTCTTGAGGGGTCCGCATTAGGACTCAGTCACTCACAAACTCACTTGCTGTAATTTTGCAGGAACAGCAGATTGAAAAGCTCCAGGTATGTATATACAGGGAGGAGCTGAACTGACTAGCCTCAGGGCTAGGGCTGGAAGGCCAGTGGTCAGGGTGGCTCTCTCTGGAGATGGGAAGCAGGGGCAGGTGTCATTGGCTTTTTTGATGAGCCCTGCCCTGACCCAGCCAGCAGGCACAAGTGGGCGCCAAATCTGAGGTATCCATTTACCTGGATAACACAGTTTATACCACACTGGTGATTCCCTGCGATATTGCCCTAACCAGTTTGCACATGGACCAATTGCTTCCAGCAGGTTTTCCACACAAGTGGCCAGTCTTAATTCACACTGTGCACTTTCCTAAAATCTCTGAAAGGTCCACAAACCCCAAATGATCAGTGACTAGTATTGGTGCCCTGTATCTATTGCTAAGGAGCCCCAAGTCTGGCACAAGCTGTGCCTTGTCTCAACTTTCATTGTAACTCCCTTCAGATGGTCCCAAGCCTGGCATAAGCTGTGGCAAATGATGGCTTGGAATGTAGCTTCAACCAAGCAGCCAAAATCCCAACACAAGTGGCAGCTGGCCTCAGCTCACATCGTAGCATCCACTGAAGTGTCCCAAGGGTCATAAGGCTCTAGTGGTAGCTGGCCTTAGTTCATAGCATAGCTTTTCCCAAGAACCTCCAAGTGGAGCACAAAGGGCACAAACTACAGATCACTTCATAGCTACAACTAGGTGGTCTCAAGATGGGAACAAATGGAAGCTGACCTTGGCCTGCATCAGAGCCCCCCCTGCGAGGCTCCAGAATTACCAAACCTGGTGGCTGGCTTAATACCACACCAGGGCACAACTCAAACAGCTCCAGAAAAGACACATGTGAAGGTCAGATTTAGCTGGCACCTGAGTTCCACTAAGAAGACTTCCACTCCGTGAAATCAGTTCCTGCCCAACAGCTAGCCCCATGTGGTCACAGTCAACCTTCACAGCAAGTCAGCCTTAGGGTCAATCCCACCCACTGATGTGCCAACAGCAATCAAGGCTCCACTACAACAGGAGTGTACACACAACCTACATATCCCTGAAGCACTCAGCTCAGGTGACCAGGTAAAATGCACCACTGGTCTCTACAAGACACCTTTACTACATAAAGCCACTCTGCCATGCCTGGGAGATGTAGCAAACCTACCTCATGTATAGAAATAAGCAAACAAAACTCCAGAAAAAGAACTCAACGAAATGAAGAAAAGCAGTCTACCAGATGCAGAGTTCAAAACACTGGTTATAAGGATGCTTAATGTATTTAAGGGAAGAACAGATGAATTCAGTGAGAACTTACACA